TTGTCTATTGAATTTATATTTTAGTCGTTTAAACTTAGTTTACAATAAATGTATTATAATAATTCAACTGCTAAAAGGCAAGGTCTAAGATCCGAACTAGTGGCGATTTGGTTTTGGGTTGTTTTAAAAAGGCTCTTTCCTACTGAAAGGTCCGCTAAAGAAAATAGATTTTGCAATTCCAGTTTTTCCTGATTTATTAACCCTTAAATGGTTTCTGTCCGTTATAAAGGACATGTCAAACAATTGCCTACAGAATCTAAATTAAAGCAATTTATCGACTTTCAAGGGATATTTTATAAAAAGCATGATATTTTATGTGAAACACGGGGCAGTAGTTCCATAAAAAACCGCGAGTTTTAAAAATTAAGACAGTTGAATAACTGCAACAGCAAGGTCAAGTTTTCGCTGTTGATAAACATGGCAACACTGTGGGTAATACACTTGTTCTTGTGCTTTATTGACTGATTTTAGAATATTAACGAATAAAACTGACGATTATTGCCAAAACCGTAAAAAAATATCGATTTTTTTTCATTCATTTCAAGGTTACAAATGTTATGTCACTTAAAACGGACAACGCCATGTATCAGTAATAAATACTCATGTTGATTTTTAGTCATTTTTACCCCATTTCCCCCTTTTAGGGGTTGCATTCTGAAATAACCTGAAACACGTGTTTATTAATTTATCCATAGGAGTACTCCTGTGAAGTTTCGAATTAAATAGTGCAACTAATTTTGTTTCGCCCTACAAACTTTGGACCCCCATTTCACCCCCTTAGGGGGTAATTTTGGAAAAATCCTTTCTCATAACACCCTAGACCCTAATAAGGAACCTACATGCCAAAATTTGTGTCTTTATACCCACCGGTTTGGGTTTTATGTTGATATATCAGGCAGTCAGTTTCTCTTTTTATATGTCTGGGTATTTTTTGATAAATTTATGTAAAATCAACAGTAAATAGTCCGGATGGATTGCAAAAGGCGCTGGATTAGCCAGAGGCTGATTATCAGGGATTCCTGTATTGTTATTAATAAAAGTTGTTTTACGTTTGTTTTCCTAAACTGGCAATGTCCGCCCTAAGTGACATGGATGTAATGCTAAATAATTGGCAATGTCCGTTTTGAGTGACATGTCATAACTTCTATACTAATTGAAATTTTTTCAAAAAGAAATCATTATTTTCTTAACCTATCAAAACAATACCTAAATCCCAAATTTGACCATTTTTGAAGCAAGGGTTCAATGAGTGCCAATTTAAGGGTTAAATTCTTACAATTCGCTTCGCTTTAGCTTAGCACCAAGTGGACAATGAGACTAACGTTATGTAGCTTTGTAAATGAAATGTTCTCTATTTATATTTTGAATAGTCAGTCATTGCAAAATAGGTATTAATTGAAAGGAGCATTTAATTTTAATAATTTGACATTCGAATTGTATTGAAACTAACCAGAATATTACGAAATACTACATTTTGGTCATGTTTGCCATCTGTTTCGTTAAATATAATGTGGATTAGCAATGATTGTGCTGTAACGATTAGAGAGTTGGACTGAAGGAGGAAGTAGAGGTTTAATTTCCAATTAAGGTACGTCATGCTAATTTCCAATTGAGGTACGTCATGCTATTTTGAAAAAACACTATTGATTGTGTTTTTTTTTCAAATATATCTCGCAAGCCGTCGGTTTAGTTTGTGACCACGACCTTTAACATTAACATTTCATTACTTGATTGCCACTCGCTCACACCGTGCTAAGCTCCGCGTGCATGAGCGATATTGATTTGCTTTAACGCTATCGCCGTTCGTCAAAAAATCACTCTCCCTCTGGCTCGCACAGAACCCGCTCCAATTAGTGAAGCTTACGGTAATCCTGAAGGAACAGCCGAATATAACATGTGAATAAGCAGGCCGGATTAGTGTAGGGGAGGAATTTGTTTTAATTGCTAGTGTTTTACTAAGGCCGCTTTCATACGATACGAGAGTTGAATTAGTTTGTGAATGCTTAGATTTTGGTGTTATTTATTTTCTTTATTTTGAGTAATATTTGCGATAATAATTACGCTGAAAACGCTTCCATAATATAAGTTCAGGTTACTTTAGTCACACAATGGAAATATATTTTTGTGTAAACTCTACTTACTGACATTTTACTTAAACAGCCTGAAATATTCAGACTCGAATCAAGCCGATTGTTTCAACTCCAACTTAGCTATCCAAGTCTGGTTTATATCTTTGTTATCAATGCAATTTCCATACAATAAAGTAACAGCTTGTTTTGCAATATTTGTGCAGTCTTTTCATAAAAAGGCTTTACTTATTGCATGCTGAAAGTCGGCTAAACTTTGACCTTATAGTGGCATGTGCTTCGTGGCTAAGACTGAACAGATGTCTCTCTTTCAGATTGCCCGTGTGCCAGTGCCCGCAAAAAACCGGACTAATTTGGGAGCACCCTAAGCTGAGGTAAGAGGATTATAAGTTTCGTCATATGCAGGAGGGGAGGCTTAGCTGTTGTACCGCCAGTCTGGTCGGACAAGTTCTCACTAAAAATAACAGATTAAAACGTGTGTAGCTATCGCTCACAGGTCTACTATACGCTAGTGTGTGGATTTATTTTAATTTATTCATGTTACATTTACAACAACTTTTAGGCCGTTAGGCCGTGTTAGGCCGAAAGATATGAACGGATTAACGATAGGAAATACGCAATTGGGATATTAATAGACATGACAAAAGCTTATGATAAAGTGCAATATAATATATTATTAAATAAACTCTATGATATAGGAATTAGGGGTACTTGTCATGATTTGTTGATATCATACCTTCATAATAGAAAGCAAACAATAGAAATTGAACACTTTAATAATCAAAACAAAAACATTGAAAGAATCAAATCTGATACAATAAGTGTAAACGCTTCAATACCCCAAGGTAGCGTGTTGGGGTGTTTATTATTTTTGATTTATATCAATGACTTTGCCGAAGCTCTGAATGAATATTGTGTGATGTTTGCGGATGATATATCTATTCTTTTCAAAAGTCAAGATTCTACAAACATAAACGAAATACTTAGTAATATTCTGTACAAAACAAAAAACTGGCTATCCGAACACAACTTAGAAATAAACTTGTCGAAAACGCAAATAATGTCCTTTCACCCATCCCAGAAAACACCATTGAATTTAAATTTAACATTAAATATTGACAACAACAACTTTGAATTAATAAATGTAAATGAACATACACTGCTAGGTATAATTATTGATACCAATGTAAACTGGAAGTCTCATATAGAAAAAATACGCCGCAAACTAAGTAGCTTTACATACGCATTTCGTGAAATAAAGAAAACCACTGACTTAGCCACTGCGATCACTACCTACTACGCCTACGCATACTCGTGGCTCAGCTACGGCGTCATTCTATGGGGAAGTAGCACCGAAGCTCCCAGTTTACTAACGATGCAAAAAAAACTTATACGAATTTTGGTCAACATAGAAAGCACTGATAGTTGTAAACCTCATTTTGAATTCCATCGAATCTTAACACTACCCTGTATCTTCATATTAGAGATATGCAAGTTCGTTCGCAAGTACCCGAATCTGTATACTAAACGAGATGGTAACATTAACAAATATCAACTTCGCGATAGAAATAAATTAGCACTACCGGCCTCCATAATGAAACACCACTCTTCTAGCCCATTAGTAATGTCCATTAAAATATACAACAAACTGCCAGATTACTTAAGAAATATAAAAGATAATAAACACTTTCAAAACGATTTCAAAAATATACTAATAAAAAAATGCTATTACACTATAAAGGAATTTTTAGAAGATAAAAATATCAAATAGAATACACAAAATTAAATATCTAAAACAAATATTGTAACAACGTCACATTTATCAATCAATACTACTAGCGCCATCTCGTGGCGTTCGCCTGCATTACCAAGCCACCGCGGATCACCGTGCTTATTGCAAGATCTATTCAGTCTAGGAAATGTTTGCGCCGCTCACCGCTAGATGCCACTAGCACATTGAGAGTCGATTTCTACACCGCGGTGTCCAGATTTTTTTTCCCTTATAGACCTTCCGACGATTATGTTGAATAAAGTAAGTATTGTGAGGCGTAAGTAAAAAGCCAAGGTTGCATCCGACTGTGACGTTCTTTCGGGGAATCACAGATTGGGACTTCCGAACGCCTAATTACAAATTGCCAGCGATTCTCCCGCGTCTGTGTCCAACGTCCTTGCGGGAATTGGTCTACGGACGGGAGACGCCCGCACCCGCTATTTTTGTACCTACTGCCGTACTTTCCAATAAAGTACCCCATTTTTGCATCACACAAGGTGTTGTTATTTGGAGCCCATCACCCCGCTTGTCAGCCGAAAAACTCAACCCTACAAAAATATAATATTAAAACAAATTACATAACCTATAATTAAATATATATTACAGTAATATTATATTACTTATAATATAATAATACACTGGATACAATAATTTAATATTTATTCTAATTAATAATATTTAAGAATCTAGTTTAATACAATAATAATAATTATTTTTTAAATTCCTCCTCTCCATTGTTGTTGTGCCCGACAGGGTTCATGGTGATCCAATTATATATTTAAGACCTAATGTACACTGTGAAATGCAATAAAGATTTGAGTATTTGAGTATTGAGTATTGGATGAACTTTGAATCTTTGAAAGGGAAAAAGTGGAGCGCGAATTTATAGCGATTTAACAATTTATAAAATCATGTTAAACATAAAAATACCACTGTATTTTTATTCATCACAGCTAGATTAAAAAAAAAACATTTACCTTTTCTTAGAATTTTAATTGGAAATGTTGTCTTCTCTCTGAAAATGAAATTCAATCTTTTTAAATCTAATAGATTGTTATTTTCATTTTAACAAGGATAATGGAGAAATAACCGGTTATACGCATCACTTTTTCGCCTTTTTTTCGTATAACAGTATTTTGGGTTCAAGATATTTTAACAGTGACATTCGCTTCGCATCGCTCGCACGGTACGGACGTGCGCTCCGCTTCGCCCGCCCGCTCGCATGCGCTGCGCTCCGAGTTCCTCGAGCTTATCGCCCTCGCTCTGCGAGTCTTGTTTCTGTGGTGTTTTGTNAAAAAAAAAAAAAAAAAAAAAAAAAAAAAAAAAAAAAAAAAAAAAAAAAAAAAAAAAATTTTAACAGTAAAGTAGAGAGTTTGTTTGTGATTAATTAATTATTATTATAATTTCACCATCATATGCAAGTACTTCATGATCCTTCCAGGGCGTAGTTGGGAATATCGACAAATAGGTTGTTCTCATCGAACCGCCCGAATTTTTAGTGGGCACAACGCGATATGGCCAGCCAAATCATAAAGTGCCGACGTTTCACACCGCCTTACCATACTTAACATAACAGACATAAAACAAAGCACGTAATACAATAAGGCTGAGATGCACCATCTTCCCAGATCTGCCCGTGTACCCCTAGCGATGCACAAGCACAGAACTGTAGGTTTCACAGGCAGTTTCCGCTACCAGGCTACTAAGTGTTGGAACAATATACCACCTCCAATAAGAGCAGCCAAATCAAAGCATGCATTTAAGACTCTGCTTAAATCTGCATTATTGGAGTCGCAAAAACCTGTAACCTGATTGCGCCTTGGTAGTGGTTTCTGATCTGGTCCAGTGGTTTCATGCGTGGTTGTTTTGTTGAACCCTGGCATAATTTGCATAATTTTTATTTTTATATTATTTTTATCAGTGTATTTTCTCCTTTCCTCTTTATCATAAATATCTTAATCTATTTAGTTATATTTATGTACTTAAACTCACCACACCCCAACCGTCACGTTGACGTGTTACGCGCGTTCTTTCGTCCTTAGGCTATAGCTGAAAATCAGTGGTTTGCTTTTAAGTAAACCAATTACTGAGCTATTGCCGTTTTGCATTGCTGCGACACACATTTCTGTATAAAGTGTGTACCTATATTGTATGTCATAATGATTTTTTTTNCGGCGGCAAATGTTGCCAGACTAAGAAAACATGTTTCACAACAAAATTTATTTATATTTTTAACTTCCCGCCCGATAAGGGGAAGTTATTGTTTTCACCCCAAAAGTCGGAAGTGAAAATTTTGTGAATTATCATCGCGTTTTAGGGTCACTAAAATGATTTTATGCTATTTTTAGAAAAATGTATGTATGTGTGTGTGTGTATGGATGGATGGATGTTCGGATTCAAATTTTGGCGAACGATTACTAATAGGGAAATGAAGCAATCGATTTAAAATTTTGACAGTAGGTTTGTCTCGTGGTGGAATCGTGGCCATTACTTTGTGTAGACTATCGGCCATTCGCAGATTGTTTAAACAATTGAAAAAAGCATTGTTTTTGTTATAACTAAAAAACTATTGTCTGAAATGAAAAATGTATTGAAACTTTTTTGTGAAAAATTGGAATGTCTACAAAATTGATTATGTGAATTCCGGCAGTACAAACGTTATGTATCTAAGAATTTGCGATATTCTGGAAAATCAACTGTAAACATCGTATAGTCCCGATTAATCGGGAAGATTTTGCGATTTGCCATTAGGCAAGATGCCACCAAACCAGAATCACATCCATAACAAATAATATACTTTGCAGAGTCACACCCATCCAGAGTCGCACCCATTACGGCTTATTTTTGTTTTATTCTCGCTTTAAACATTTTTGAGTCGCGAGGCCCCTTGTACCGCGAGGCCGTAGGCGGTGGCCCACATCGCCCACGCTTAACGCCGCCTCTGCGTTTTACCATTAAAAACAATACAATTTTACGGAGCTAATGATAGTGCGTGCACTCGCGCGCACGCACCGCAGGAGAAGTTTGCGACGGTAACCCATCCACTTGACCACTGCGTAGATTGAAAAACCTTCGCTATCAAAAGTCATTATGGTTACAAGCTAAAGGACTAATTATAAAATATTTTGTATAATGAATGCCAATTTTTGTATTAAGGCCAATTAAGTTTTAACTTTGAAATGGTAATTAAGCATTTTCAGATATTCGCAACATTTCAGCCTGCCTTTTGTTCTGCCCTCTATTCAGAACTTTTCAATCAACAGTTGACCATTCCAGACCAATTCCAATTACTCGGACAGTTCCAAAGTTCGCCAATAACAAAAAAGCTCGACTGGGAGTTGGCATTTTACAATATCCAACAATACAGAAAGTTGTGGAACAAACACACCAGCACTAGAAGTGTAATTTATTTTGTTTTTTGCGCGAATCGAAATATTTTTCAGTCCGGTTGTGGATTAAGCAACAATCTACGGATTTTACTTTGTTGTAGAGTTGTAAACATTGATTGAAAATCATTTTGCTACAAAGTTAATAACGGTCGTGAAGCTTTAACACTCTAAAGAAAGTTTTGTTCTTATACTCCTGTCCCATAAAAATACGAGACTCATGCCCGTTTTCACTATCAATCCCTAATTTTTAAGTGACCCCTATGGTAACAAATAACAGGAATTTTGATTACATAGGCGTCACTTAAAAATCAAGGATTGATGGATTATTATATCTTACCTGCAGTGGAGGTTTCTGGGGTAAACTCCTGGATACGCAGCTGACTGTACGTAGCACGTTTGTAGCCGACAGTCTCGGAAAACTCTTTCACAGTACGACCTGCAACAAAATAACTGGTGTTAACAAGTTTTATTACTAGCACTACGTAGCCTAGGCGCAGACCACCGACTTTTAGTTAGTCGACAGTTGGGTCGGGCTGTTGATCAGTATGGAGATGTATGAAAGTGCGCACATTACACCGATTTGCTATCGGCCGATTCTTCATCACAAATTAGAATCGGGCCCAACTATCGGCCAACTAAAAGTCGGTGGTCTGCGCCTAGACGTACTATAGTCACTAAATATCCACCTAAATACCAAATGAATAGTAATCGAATGTAACGGAAAACTATCGTTCGATCCATCCTCTCCGTTTCTTCACCCGTCACTGAATTTTAATTCAAACCACTGCTCGTCCCAAATTTTCTTATGACACAAAATCAAATCGGCGAATCGGGGGAATCCCCAAGTCAGCATTGTCACCTCGCCCACTCCAGTCTATTACTAGGCATAAATCAGTGCAGGTCGTAATAGGTGGCCAGGGACATAGCCTTATGAGAACAGTTCACTTTCGAGCATGTGTAAGGCATGCTCAACGTTGGCCCCGACATTGGTCTTACGCCACTCGTCCAGCATGTCCCAAGGTTGTTGCCCATACTAATTTCTATATTTACACTTTGGTCGAGTGGCATTGACACCAACGTGTGGACTGTGGAGCCGGCGTAAGAGTAATAGTCGTTCAACTTATGTCTTACATTTCTTACCTAAAAATTTCTTAGAAGAAAACATTAAAAGTGGCTCGGATGAAGTAGGTAATTGAGTAATTTGGGTGTCACTGGATCTGCCTACAACCTACTCGCATCCTATCTTTCAAATAGAAGTCAGATTGTTAGGATGGGTGACTATGAAAGTGCGATTTGTAATATAACATGCGGCGTTCCGCAGGGCTCAATACTGGGACCCCTCTTATTTCTAATTTATATCAATAACATAAACCAAATCGGTCTGAAGGGTTATCTAACTTTATACGCTGATGACACTTGCTTATTCTATTTTGGAAAATGTATACATGAAATCATAAATGACGCACAAAATGATCTAAATATCGTAAACGAGTGGTTTCTATATAACCTACTTACTATAAATACATCCAAGACATCGTTTATGATATTTGTTGCTAAAAATAAACAGTTACCTCAATTTACCCCCTTAAAAGTTAACAACATCATCATCAGTCAGTCTAGTAGTGAGAAATACCTAGGATTAATATTAGATGATCAACTTACATGGAGACCCCACATTGACCATGTGCGGTCGAAGCTTATAGCACTTTCTGGCGCCTTGCGTAGAATGGGTAACTGTCTCCCATTAACAATAAAGCATACTGTCTACAACGCGTTAGTGAAACCTCATTTGGAGTATCTTGTGGAAATCTGGGGATCGGCACCCAGATCTGCCCGTGTACCCCTAGCGATGCACAAGCACAGAACTGTAGGTTTCACGGGCAGTTTCCGCTACCAGGCTACTAAGTGTTGGAACAATATACCACCTCCAATAAGAGCAGCCAAATCAAAGCATGCATTTAAGACTCTGCTTAAATCTGCATTATTGGAGTCGCAAAAACCTGTAACCTGATTGCGCCTTGGTAGTGGTTTCTGATCTGGTCCAGTGGTTTCATGCGTGGTTGTTTTGTTGAACCCTGGCATAATTTGCATAATTTTTATTTTTATATTATTTTTATCAGTGTATTTTCTCCTTTCCTCTTTATCATAAATATCTTAATCTATTTAGTTATATTTATGTATTTAAACTCACCACACCCCAACCGTCACGTTGACGTGTTACGCGCGTTCTTTCGTCCTTAGGCTATAGCTGAAAATCAGTGGTTTGCTTTTAAGTAAACCAATTACTGAGCTATTGCCGTTTTGCATTGCTGCGACACACATTTCTGTATAAAGTGTGTACCTATATTGTATGTCATAATGATTTTTTTTCTTTTTATTTCTGTCTTACCATACCATGTCATATTGTCCTGAGGGTACTATTTTGTCCTACTTTTAGTACTTTCTGTTTATAATGTGTGTTTCTGTTATGCAAATAAACGTTTTATCTATCTATCTATCTATCTATCTTAATTTAACTAAGATAAACGTCAAATATCTGTCAAACTCCATACAAAAAGCACCGGTTATTGTTATTATTACGGTTAAAATAAGTTGATGCAACTCAACCTAAGTCTTGTTGTCTAAGGCTGGGTTGCACCATCTTACTTTAACTTTGACAAACGTCAAAAATATGTCAAACTCCATAAAAAAACACCGGTTATCGTTAAAGTTACGGTCAAAATTAGGTGGTGCAACTCAGCCTTAGTTTTCTAAGTAGGTTTGTCAATCCTCCACACGCGATACAGACTGTATCACCCACCCTACACAAAGCGCAGTGAAACAGAATCGAGTTATCTCTGGAAATGTTTAATGAACTAAAGACATCAAGTTCAGTTGCACAAAACAGAGATACAACCAAAACATTCTTCTTCCTCGGTCCCTCATTGATAAGGACCGCGACCACATAGTGTTCCTCCACAGACTGCGGTCATAAGCTGTGTGGACCGCACGATGCAAATGCGCCCACTGTCTTACCATAACCTTACAGTCATATTTTTTTTTTAATTTACGAAGGCGAGTGAGCTTTACATGTGTGGTGGCTCGCTACTGTTCGTTTTAAAAAGTTTTCATAGACATTACACTACGTTATGTGCTATCTACACGTACACACACAAATCAAACTCACTCGCCTTCGCGAGTTGCAGAAACTATAATACAACGACTTAATAATAAGTTCTACAGTGGTGTAACTTAGTTTTCTGAGGCTGAGTTGCACCACCTCATTTTAACCGTAACAATAAGCGGTGCATTTTGTATGGAGTTTGACAGATTTTTGATGTTTGTCAAAGTTAAAGTAAGATGGTGCAACCCAGACTAAGTATTTGCCAATCCACCACACCCTGTGGGATACAGGCTACACGTCCGTCTGAATCACTCACACAAAGCGCAGCGAAACAGAATCGAGTTATCTCTGGAAATATTTTTCGTACACAGTCTAGAATCCCATCTAGTTTTTATCCAGCTCCGTAATAGGATTTAGTTTGTGTGTTCCAAACGTGTTTTTGCGATCCAATGTAATCAGGGAATTAGTGCGGATGGGAGTGTTTTTAACCTAAACAAGTGTGCATTAAAGAAGATTACAAAATAATTTTGTGTAAAATTGTCCATTGAAGTATCATGTCATGTAGGGAGATATAATATGTAGTTGAAGGTTTGACTGAACTAAGTTTTCACTACTATAAGACAAAGTTTTCCATCTCATGTCTAATTCGCGATAAACTCAAAAACTACTGAACAGATTTTAATGCAATTTTCACCAATAGATTTAGATATAGATAGAATGTATAAGTAAACGTAATCAAGTCAAGGTTTTGTGTAAATAAGTTATTTATCCTTGCGAAATTGGGGCAAGTCGCTAGTGACAAATAAATCACAGTGATTGTAAAAATAGTGGCATAAAATAAACCCAAAGGGAAAACGATATAACTGGCGAGAATTTATCGTAGCCTTAAAATTAATGTCGTCAATACCAACCCGTTAAAGAGAATAGTTGTAATGGATTTTGGTTCAAGTAACAAGCGATAAGCTTTTCTAAATCTATAGCTTTCGCTTTGAAAGGTCACTGATTGACTGACTCACTCATCACGAAACCTCAGAAACTACAAATGCTAGGAGTCTCAAATTTTTTTCTTGTCCTTTTCTAAAAGGACCTACGTTCTAACGTAGGTGGTCACTTAGGTCGGATTTTACGAAACTCCACCCTTAAGAGGGTAAAAGCACGCGTTTTACCGAAGGCACATACAATTTTCTCCTTTTTAAGTAAGCCTAGCTTTTATTTGGTATAACTACTTTGTTGACCATGCATGTTTCAAAGCACTACAATAAAGATCATGATCAAGTATAGTTCAAATAGGAGAATTATCTCTTAAAGCTCTATTACTATTATGCTAAATTACTTTATTGTTAACACAAAATTATTATCTGTTTAGTTTAATCCTCAACTTAAATGCCGTTTATTGTTTGATAAAGGCCTCTTCCGCATTCACAACGACAGGTCTTGCGTTACTCGCATCCAGGTGCGTTACAAGATCGTCAGTCCACCGAGTGGGAGGAGTTTTCTCGTTACTTACACCATCCCCCTTAATTCCTTTGCTCGTAAAAAGCGCGCTAAACATCCAGCTGCAGTAAACGCGGGCGTAAACTTGTAGTGGCGCCCTCTGCAGGTGCGTTGTGAATATTCATGCGGTACTATCCAGACATACTCGACGGTAGCTCTTAAAACGGGGGTGTAAGTAGCATGACAAGGATCGAGGACTTGAATGTACTGGGAATAGGTGCTCGTAGATGACACCTCGGATCTTGGATGAAGGATAAGTATAAGTATTAAGTTGGTATGTACCGGCAATGGGTAGAGAATATTGGAACTGGTAAGAGTCTTGACAAGGATAAGTTCTTGTAAAGTTAGTTTGTTTATTTTTCGCTCTTCCATCTCTACCTTAGATTTAACTAACGACGAAGTAGTTACTTCGAGTTATTTGAAACACATTACCGATCATCGTTTCCTATGTCCTGAGACAATCTGAATTACAACTTCATAACATCAATCAATTCAATTCAATGTAAGTGAACGTTTGAAATAAATGCACGGAACAAATCCTAAAAGAAAAAAAGAAAATTCATATTTTTTAACACAGGAAAGCTTCACAGAGCAGAGCTTCATTTAACAGCTGAAAAAGCGAAATACTATTAATTCTACCATTGGAAAAATCGATTACCACGTGCCAAACCAGTAGAAAAACTAATAATAAAGTTTCTGTTTCTGGCTCAGTGAGAACTAAGGAACCCCTCTGTAGGGAGGCTAATGAAATCGGCCCCGCTTGACCTAACTTAGTTTAGTCAACGACTTTCGATTCCGATTTGCAATTAAATTATTCCGTTTTGTTAAATATAGGTACAGCTGGTTTTATTATACTTGATGTACTCTTCATAGCAATTCAAGGAAAGTAATTCATTGGGGGAGGCCTATGTTCAGCAGTGGACGTCCTGTGGCTGAAATGATGGTGATGAATCACAGTGGTATTTTAAGACATGGTTTGGTATGTTAAAGGTAAGGAAGGCGCTGGATGCAGGCTGCTACCCGGTTGGTCATTATGGAAATCATTGAGAGAGGCCTATGTTCAGCAATGGACATCCTATGGCTGAAGTGATGTTTTACGTGCAATTTTACAACCGTATTACATACTCAATTACAGTGTTATGTAAGGTACCTACAAGTTTAGGTACTGGTTAGGTTTTTATTGGCGGTAAAAATAGATCCTGGCTAGAAAGGTAGGAACGGAAGGTGATAAGAGCTCCGTTTTAAATACAGGTAGCTTGTTTCAAGTAGCATTATATCATATCAGTCTGAATATTTATGAAAATAATAGAGATGATTCTGTTGCTTCCAAACCTAAGCTCTAAAAACCAAATGTTGGAACAAAAAATGTCTAGAAAATCCGTTCTTTGTGAGCACTTAGCACCTAGTAAGGACTTAGCACCTACGTTCTAAAAGTAACCCCTATGCAAAATTTGAGACTCCTAGCACTTGTAGTTTCTAAGATTTCGTGATGAGTGAGTGAGTGAGTCAGTCAGTCAATCAGTGACCTTTCGCTTTTATTAATATGGATAGATTGTAGTGCATTGGAGTGAAAAGCACAGCAGCTGTTACTAATGTACGAGCACCTCAATCCATTTGTATGTATGACATAACAGTTCCAGAGTAGTTAAATATTGGCGCACCTGGATGGGATTTATTTGTTTCATAATAAAAATGCCCGGATAACGAATTTATTCGTTTACTACTTTTTGCACAGTTTCCATACAGCTCCGAACGAGCGTGGCATAAAAAATATTCGATACGAATTAATCCCATTTTTATGTGTGGAACAGGGGATTTATTTGTTTTTATGGTGTTTGTGTGAAAAAATATTTTTTAAAGTTGCGACTGCATTAATATTGCGTGTGCTCATATGGGCTGGTTTCCTATAGTCAATCCTTGTCCGAATTCGTCCTTTATGTGTCAAATTTCAATCAGTTTGCGATCAATTCTATAAATTGTTGATGCGTTTACACTTGAATGTTGCTGAAATCTGGCTTTTAAATTTTCCGGGAAACACTTCTACCATTACGAGTATTAATAATATATTTCTCTAAATATTGATTATTATTATTAAACACCTCGCATTTTGGTTTCACAAAATATTTGATAGACAAAACAAACATTAGCATAAACTGCGAAAAGCGCATTTATTATTTTGTTTAACCTAAATGGAAGTAAATTAGAGTCAATGTACCAATGTTTGGCGTTCTAAACAAAGTAATATTTTACGACGAATCCTCTTTTAAAATACTTAAATACCTAGCTCTAACAGATAAGTTCGCAAATCAACATTTCTGTTACAGCTAAATAGAAAAGTTTACTGATCGACAATTTCATTGTATTTTATACTTTCTCTCAGAATGTATGAAAAATATGTTAACTAAGGCTTATAGAATGGCTTGAATAGACATTTGAAAACTAACGAATCTTTTCATTCCATATACAGGTTTTAAAAAAAACCCGGGTGTCTGTTTCAAAAAAGTAGAGCTATTGCTCCAATATTTGACTATTGAGATACGTCGGTCAATGTTTTCACTCCCATGGCTGTATGTAGAAATGTTGCCATGGTTTTGAATTACTACCAAATACTTTATCTATTATTTGTTGTAACAATCATAAATTAAGCCATGTTATATTGAAAGATGTTCTGAAGAAAAAGCTAAATAAATAAAACTTGCTCAAAATGTCTCTACAATATTCACTCACATGTTAATACACGACGGGATTCGACTAACAACCAACAAGTGTGCCTAATCTAAGATGAAATACAGATCCTGAATCCAAATAAATTCTATATCTGCTGTGCAAATTGCCAATATTGTTGGTGGCAAATGCCAATATATCGCAAAGTTTGTAGTCAAACACATGCGTCCAACGTTTCGCACAGAGCCGCTTAAACATGAAAAATGGCGTCGGTGCATAGCTTTATGCAAGTACACGGGATTTATGAATTTCTAAACGCCATGTTGTAAGAAATTTATTTGTCGGCAACATGCAAACTGAGTGATAAAGTTAATTTTTTTATTGAATCGTAAAAGCTTTTTTTCTTTTGGAAATTTTATATGAATAAGATTCTTCAAAAGTCAGTGGTTTACCTTCTTTAGTACGTAAGCTCTATCACTTTCAAAATAAATGATTACTTAATTTATTTATAAGACTGTGAACCGTTTTTCAGCTATTGGGAGCTATTCTCGTCTACGCTTACCACGTTGGCCAAGCAGTTAGATTGGTATCAAAGATATACCTAGACATACTTACTTCATCATGGTCATGTCATTCGGTCTCCATTGCATAGCACTTTTTTTAATCTATGGAGGGAAATGGTGGATTTGATCTACACTGGCCACATTTTATTCATATAATTGCATACCTGCATTACCTTTCATCGTTAGGTACCGAACGATGGGAAATCTATATGGGTGATTAAAAACGCCAGACCAGTTTTGTACAAAATATATTATTATTTTTTAACATTTTTTGATGATTAACTGAGTACACTTGCGTACATAAAACAATTCACTAAAATTACAACTAAGGTAAAGAGAATTCGATGTTGAGCTGAATTGATTGTGATTGAGCTTTCAATGGTTTGTACTATTTAAAATACTGTCGACTGTACTTCTTCATTAAAATACAAGCGATTATTACATTATTAATTTAACAATGTGTTTGCTTATGTTAACAATAACATGATTATTAACAATATTGTACTTAAAAATCGAACAAAATACTTAAGTAGTTTTACAGAGCATGACTAGTTCAAACATGACCTTTTTTGTGCCTTTTTTAAAGAAACTTGCGTAATACTGCTCTGGCAACACTAAAATTTAGTGTTAATGTAATACATTATAATACCTAAAAGCTCAACATCAAGGAATGGAGTCCAAACGAAGGATACGCCGGCAGTGTTCAGGGGCACTAATTGTGCAAAATATTATATTTTATGACTTACTTCGTAAGAGCTGTCGCAAATGTGGTAAAAGAACGCAATCTGCCTTTACTGTACACTTACATTAATGCCACTTCTGCATGCACGGGCATTTCAAGCAAGACCTAGTAAGTTAGGCACGCCACCCTTTTTTATGGGACAGGAGGCAAACGAGCAGACGGATCACCTGATGCTAAGTGATTACCGCAGCCTTAGGTATAAAGTAAAGTATAAAATCTTCTTCAAATATTGTACCTATGAGTAAATACACGATTAGGATTAGGTTTGATAAAAAACACACATCACTCTAGATTCGGACTTTAAGGATCTCCTTTCCTTAACATGTCTTAAATAATTCCATTACCCCCCAATATATTAACTCAATTTCCATATCAAACGCCCCAGCCCTTACGAAGCGGTCTATACAAATTGTACAGAATCAAATTACAACGAACATATAACTAAGTTTTGCTAATCATCGTGCGTTACATTTCCTTAAACATAAGGCAAACATCAAAGATCCCTTGGCATGTAAATTGAATGATTAACAAGTAAAACATTACATGAGTGATACACCAAGGAATCGACGAAATTTGCCTCTTGAGCACTCCACTCTAGAAGCAAGATGTGGTTCAGTAATCCAATTGATACGCCATTTCAAAGTTAAGACGGATGAAAATACAGATAGCTTTTAACAGTATTGATGCTATTAAGTTAGTATGCCTAGATTAAGCGAAGAGAAACCCATCGTATGATGAGACTAGAAACACAATGTTATGATACATGGAACACACTGAAATGTATTTACAACACTAAGTTTTAATAAATGCTCTGATGTAAGTTTTAAATTCCTAGAAGTTCCTCAAAACACAAAATGTCTTGAACCACAAATGCCAAGAGTGCAAGGCTCATAATAGAACAACATGCTTATGATAATATTTACACCATTATTATTATGTTCCTAATTTTTGACAGTGATGTTCGCAATCAGTCAAATTTGCTTTTGAAGCAGTGCAATTTCCAGTAGCATCAAGTCGTGTATTTAAATTGCTTCATGAGAATGAATCCAACTTTTTTTTTCATCACACTTGTAGTCAATTTCTTAATCGAAACTTTAACTTTATTCAACACTTTTTAACAATGTTCACGAGTCTCTCTTATTCAATTGAAACCACGTTACAAAATTATTATTATTATCACTATTTTACCTAATTGATAATTGCTTAATTGTTTGGCTACTATCACCTTGTCGTTTATACCTATGATCGTCGTTCTTAAACGTACGTTATTAATATTAAAATTAATTAACCGTACGTTATGTATGTACATTAATTACAAATCAACTATAAGTTGAGCGCCTTATTATTTATAATTGAGAACCCTCATAGTAATGAGATGTAATTAAAATCAAGTAGTCATCATGTTACCGCATTCACGAAGGTAACAAGTTGAAATGTTCATTAAATTTTGGTTTCAGAAGAAACCAGCAATATTTTTAACACAATAATGATGTTCGTGTAATTTACAAGTCAAGGTTCCGGCGCTCAATAAAGTGTCTGTCAATGGAGGCTCCAATCTAACGGGAGATCCCTGGATGTAGACCTTGAGTGTAGGGACGGCGGTGCGTGAGGCGCACCGCGGGCCGCGTGTCAGTAATCCAGGGACTCCTCATCTGGAGACCTCTTGCGGCAGCACAGGCGCCAGGCAGCGCCCAAAGCACATACTCCTAAAGCAATCGCCAGACCAGCACCTAAAGCAGGCGCAGTCCAGTCCCCTCCAACCGAACTCCTGGCCCCTGCACACAATTCTGGTGACTCATCGTTCAACTGCCCAAACGGAATACCATTCAACGCATCCAAATACCCAAGACGCCTCAAACTATCTTCTGAATAAGCCTCTCTTGCCCGCTTCTCTTCAGCAGTCCAGAACTTCCTTTCATTTGTCGTCACGTTCGGACAGTTGACAACTCCGTTACAAATAAGTCTGGCAGGAATACAAAGAGCTTCATCGCCAGGACAAATAAAATCACAACCTTGTCCCGAGTCTGAAGATTTTATTCCACCATCAGTCAGTCGAGAAGTCATCAGCGTTCCATCAGAATTCTTGGGCAAATGGAAGAGGCCTGTCCAAGCGATTTTGAACGCAGCTCTGGCAGGAGAAGCGCTGCCAATAAAGACGATTCTAATAGACCTAGTCTTGTCCTTTTCCATCACCAATGGATCATCCAATGATTCAAAACCCAGTTCCCCTGCCGAAAGTATTGGTAACTTCTCAGTTTCAGATACATTGCCACCACAGATTGATAAGTACGGTTCTATTCTGCCAGGTAAGTAGATTTGTATGTTGCCATCCTCACAGTGCCTAGATGCAAACTTGATACTGTCAAAGTGTAGCCACATGTCTCTCTTCTCTTCAATTTCTAAATCCCAAATGCACTGGATGCGTTTGGGTGGTTCTGTATAACCTAGTGCTTCTAAATGAGGATAGACGATTTCTCCGTCTGAAGCAGCTGCTAAAACTGGTGGTCCACATAAAGGCCCATGAACAAATTCATACCTGGCTTCGAAGAGGGGAGACGGGTTCTTGAAGTATGACGCAGCAGCGTGAGCATTGTCTACTATGAGTTGAAGATTCAGTGTTTCTCCAGACGATACTACCCTGTATGGCCTCGCTCTGGATACAGTATTTGCATGTTTTGCGCATAGACATGAACCCAAAGATCGTTGAACGGCTAAATGAAGAGGTAGAGGCGTTGTAGTGACCCCTATTGATGAGTTAGGAGTTTTGGATCCAGGGAAAGGCTCCCAGATGATCAACTTATCGGCACGGTCTTCGTAACAGTTCTGGCAGGATACTGGTGTATACGGATGTTCCTGTTGGAGAAACAAGTACTTAGATTAAACTGTAGCTTGTGATGAGATTCTGTAATAACATAAAATAGGCTATAAACTTTGACAATGTTAAAAAAATAATCTTTGTCGTACAAGTAGCGTTACATGTTACATTTTATGCCGAAACAAGTACTTTACCTTGAAGTTCACGCTCAAGATGGTCAGTATGACTCTGGCGTATATCCTCTTATCAGTGACGAATCGATACAGGCAGTGGACATCCTCTCCCGGTGGTGCCTGTTTGTACACCAGCGTGTTCAGTGGCGACCTCAAGCGACCAGCTCTTTGCTTCCAAGAGGCAATGACCTCGTCGCAAGCAGTGTTGGGAACGGGCTCTCCGAAACGTGTGTTATTGAAGAAGTCGTAGTGTGCCCAATAGTACAAGGAGGAGCTGTAAAGAGAATACAACTTAAGCATGAAAAAGTCTTTTAAACACACGATATAACACTTATCAAAAATCCACCTACCCGCTGTAGCTCCCAGTCTTGCTCTCAAATCTAACAAACATGGCGTTTCCAGTCGACACAAAGTCGTGTTTTTCCATTGGTCTACTGAAGGTGTCACAGAAGGTCTTGATGATGCGAGCGTCATCAGGTCTTGGAGCGTCGTATAGGGTGAGTGACTCGCCACAGTCACCAGTCCAAGGCACGATGGGGGACTCGATGCGATTGATTCGGAAGCTGTAGACAATAAAATTTCTTTAACCTAAACTCTTTCGTTATAGCTGATGATGTCGGATGACAACGCCACTCTTGTGGCGGAGTTTTGGGCTGACACTGTGTAGGTTTGTTGTCGACACGAAAAGAAGAAGAAGAAGAAGATGTCGGATAACTATAGTCTTATTGCAAAGCCAAAAAGAAAAAGCAAGGGGTGCATTTTGTTTCCTTACCTTGGAAAGTAAAGCCTCACAACCTGACCAGGTAGTCCCTGCATCAGATAAGTACACGACGTGTGCGGCGGATACCAGTGAGCTACTGACAGGAATATTCCTTCTGTGTCTCCAGACTTCTTCAGGGATTCAGCTGTGAGGCGCCAGTCGCACGTCCCCACTTTGGAGCCGGCGGCTTCCACGTGCCCAGGCCAGTTGCCAACGTTGAAATGGAAGCCGGTGTTCAAGAGAGGACCTTATTGGATTGACATAGAGCATTATTCGGAGACAATAGATGCATAATCGCAGTCGTTAATCAGCGCAACGTGTTGCTGTTGATGGAATATGGAAATTACCACGGATTAATTGGGCTCTGGTATTACATTTTAATTAATGTCTTGTTATGAGAATACTTTAGTCAGATCATATTATCTTATCAATCAGCCCTCCTTTAAGAAAAAAATTGTTAGAATATTTTACTTTTTACTAAAGAGACGGATCAGATACACATCGCCTCGAGATTTAAAATTTTACTAGGTCAATTTATTACGATAGTCAATAGGCTTGATATACAATAGTATGTCCTATTAAATTACTATCTTCCAAGAATTTATAAATTATTGGTAAATACCTGCAGGCGAGCTGACGAATTCCACGAAGAGGTCCTGTGAAGTCCCGATGATGGAGTAAGGGAACTTGCCCATGCCACAGAACGTCCCGATCACAGACGCCGATTCGTCTCTGCCGTCGTAGATTTTGATGTAGTCGTATGGACAGTTCTCTGAACCTATGATGAAGAAAATAATATTTTAATGACTTACTAATAACCTCTTTGCAACTGAATTAATTGAGTCAGTGCTTGAGGTATGGGAACGGCACGGGAGGGTGTTTTTATAATGTCAAACATCACTTACTACGAGTAGCTTAGAAACTTCAGATGAGCTTCAGATTTGTATACTATGTCATAACATCATAAGATATCAATGTCACCCCTCCCGTAGCGCTCCTATTACTTAGTCATTGACTCAGTTACGCCACAAGTTACGCGGTAGACCTATAATTATGTGGATTGTTTCGATTCTCAGAGCGGTGTTCGTTTGTTTCAGCCGAAAGACGTCCACTGCTGGACAAAGGCCTCCCCCAAGGATTTCCACAAAGACCGGTCCTGCGCCGCTCGCATCCAGGCACCTCCCGCGACCTTCACCAGATCGTCGGTCCACCTAGTGGGAGGCCTGCCCACGCTACGTCTCCCGGCTCGTGGTCACCACTCAAGAACTTTCCTGCCCCAGCGGCCATCAGCTCTTCGAGCTATGTGCCCCGCCCACTGCCACTTGATTTTAGCGATTCTGCGGGCTATGTCAGTCACTCTGAGTCAGAGCGATGTACTTAGTGAGAAATAATAAGAAACAATGAATGGCAGGTCCTTGGCCTTAACGTTAATGGATAATTTTTCTTTATTACATTACAACGCCGAACGAACACCATCTCTCAACATTATTCATGACCTCCCGCCGCCATTGTTCTAACGGTGTTCATTAAACTTGAAAGTTTCATAAATGTCTACAAAAACGCGAGAGCCAGAGGATTTAATTCCCATTATTGGGGGTTCCGTAATTTATGACCGCTATAAATTCTCACGCTTCCGAGAAAGGAAAAATTATAACTGCTAGGGATTGCAGCCGGTTGTCACGCTGTACAGACGCTTTTATTTCAACTCGTTTCGAAGATATACGGCGGCCATAAATTGTATCGGGCTTAAGAGCTATGTACATGTAAAGAACTAAGGAACTCCAGAAGAATTCTGGGTTGTTTGGCTTATCTCCACCATTTATGGGTGTTCCAGAGAGCGTTTTACAGCAATAATGCGAATATATTGCGTTTAAAAGTTTCATTTGGCCTTGCGGTAGAACCTTTAACTGCCTTTGTAAAGATTTACGTAAGTATGTGCTTGAAAATTATCTCTATAGCAGATCGTTACACCATGATGTAGACACTAGCATAATTGATTACTATTAGGTACACAATCCGTTATAGTTCCATAGTAGCGATGCCATACTATACAAATGTACGGTCAACAGCACATCAACGTAAACACTGTGGTATCTTACGTAGTTGCGATAGGGGCGACTTTGCAACGAAAATGTATAGCTTGATGTGCTGTCGACTGTACTACCAAGCGTCACTATTAAGACTCTAAGGCTGGGTTGCACCATTTTACTTTAACTGAGACAAACGTCAAATATCTGTCAAACTCCATACAAAAAACATATATCGTCATAGTTACCGTCAAATTTGGATGGTGCAACTCAGCATAAGACATAAATGAAGAATAGTAGCAACTGTAGTTGTTGTAATAAATGTACCAGGATTATGAATGATGTATTATTGTAAATACACTTTTATTTCAACTCTTCCCGGAATAATACAGGGCCATAAATTGTATCGGATTTAAGAGGGCGATGTGTGCTTTCGCGTAAAGAGTACTCTTGTGTTCTTTGGCTTATCTCTGCCCTTTATGGGCTGTTCAGAGACCCTTTACAGCAAAGACATTGGAGTACTAGTGTATTGTATTTTTATTGTAGTTGTAGTCAACTTAGAGCGGTTTCGCTCTTTTTTTAATTTTTTTTTATTCACAACGAGGAAGCTCTTGGCCTGTATCTCACCTGATGGTAAGTGATGATCAGGCCGAAGTTGGAAGCGAGCTTCACCCGGAATCCTCAACCACGGAGGAACTGGCTATCTTACCTCTAACTGTCGGAACACAACAATGCTGTTAACATTGTTGTTATGGCGACAGACTTAGGTAAGATGGTGGTAGCTAGCCAGGCGGACTTAGAACAAGCCCTACCACCAACCAAACCGAACACAAAAATCTTCCCCCACTGGGAATCGAACCCGGGACCTCTGCGTCTGAAGCAGGTGGTCTTACCACTAGACCACAGAGGCTCTACGTCCGCTCCTAATGAAAATATGATACGGCAGTCGAACAACTATTTGATGATAGTTTACGCACTAGGTCCGATTTCTATCATCCGATGTCTCTAGTTACAGGTGCTAGACCTGTGAGGTATGGGAGCGACACGGAAGTATGATGTGATAGAGCATACAAATAAAAGTCTGAAGCACATCTGAAGTTTCGCTGACGTTTGACACACAAAAAGACACTCCCGTGCCTCTCTTATACCTCAGACAGGCATCGACTTTTTTGTCAAAGTCAAAGTCAAAATTTCTTTATTTGTTTAGACTAATAAATAGTACTTACAAATCGTCAAATATTTTGCTCTTAAGGAGCCTTTACATGTCTCATAATCTTTTTACCCTACCAGCGCTTCGAGACCAACATTTGGCAAGTGCTAAGAAGAAGCGCCGCAACAAACTCAGTCACCATTGTCTGCCGGTTATACACTAGACCTGTAGTTTACTAGATCCTTATTTTGGTGGACTCAGATCGAATTCAGATCAGACTTAGTCTGAAACCACTCTTGCTGTTTGTGTATTTCATTCTATCTTACTTTAAAGTGACTGCACTTTCTGCGACAAATTCGATCGGATCATGAAATCTATTAAGCGTAACTTCTACTCACAAGGATACGTTTCACTTCCCAACCAAAGCAGGGGGAAGGAGCTACTTAGCAAATTAACGCGTATCACCCCTCCCCTATTAACTGTCTAACGTCTTAGATGGAGTGCTTTCGAAACTCGCACGAAACGAGGGTCCCGCGGGACCGCCTGTTTGGTGTTTACGAACTTTTTGGAATAGGGGAAGATGCCAATTATAATCAACTAAAGCCTGGTCCGTGAGCACGCGACTGTGCGACGCGCGCCCGCAGTGAGTGTGCGAGCGCGACAGCAACATAATTACGCACGAGCGATAAGGATGGGTAGCTTGGGGTCATTGGACAAAATTCTACGTGCTCACAGACCAGGCTTTAGCAGGGATAGTATGCAGGCTAGGCGTGGGACACTCACAGTTGACCTTGTAGCCCGATACAACGTCAAAGAAGCCCTTCTGGCATTGAGTTTGCCTTTTTACCATTTTATTTAGCATTCAAATTACACTCTCACACACACTAGTGCCTAGATAGGTACACATATACTCTTTATTGTGCACTAGGTACATTGTTTTATTATCTATCGTTTTTGTATCTTTTTAATTTTATTTTGTAGATTATGTTATAGTTATTTTCTTTTTTTTTCTCTTCACATGGATGTTGTTCTCACACTTGGCTCATAGCCTTGTCTAAGTGCTATAAGGTTTGAGGTGGTGGGAGCCTGATGTCCTGTAACACAGGTATTCGATACCTAGCATAGGCATCAGACTCACACTGATATTGTCTAAATTAAATAATTAAATAGTGTAAACATGATGTAAACATCTCATGTATGTTTTCAATGTCTGTGTGAGTAAATAAAGACTTTTTGATTTAATTTGATTTGATTTGATTCAAAAGCTGGAATAAAACTCTTGGGGGAGTAATGTTAGTTACTGAAAATTTACCCAAATACGAACTTTACGTGATGTGGTAAGGCTAAGCAAAGGGTAGTTTACGCAGCCAATCATTACCTAGTTATAATTACTTGATCAGCAAGGTCCCTATGAGTATGAAATACTCGTAACTAGTTCGCTAAATCAATTGAATCGTTTTTGTTGATTTTCAGTTAACTGTACACGAATTGGTTAATTGAAGTGTTTTTTATTCACGATGCTCAAAGATCTAACAGAAGTATTTTTTATTTTTCTGTCAATGACTCCACTCACCAGATGTGATGGGCCTCATGGGACACGTCATGATGTTCTCGCACCGCTGGCCATCGATGTTGAACTCCTCATTCTCGATGTACAGCTTTATGTACGGAAGCCTGGTGTTGAGGTGATACCTGTGGGGGGAAATAATAACATTTAGGAACCATCACCCTTGGCCAAATGCCATTTGGAGAGTTCAATTTGATGACTAACGCTTCATAGTACAATGTGCTTACCATGAGTTTACGTTAGGTGTGCTCGCTAGTGAGTGCGTCAAAAAAATCTATGAAGATTTTAGTTTTTGAAAGTAGCTGTACGATCTGTCATCATTTTAATGTCATTTTCAGCACACCTAACGTAAACTCATGGTAAGTGTACTGTGTACCTACCATGAGTTTACGTTTTTAGAGGTGTGCTCGCTAGCGAGTAGGTACGTCAAAAATCTCTATGAAGATTTTGTTTCTTGAAAGTAGCCGCTAGGGGCGCTGCACAATATTATGTCATACAATTAATGTAATTTTTTTACGCAGTCGCTAGCGAGCACACCTAACGTAAACTCATGGTAAGCACGCGTTTTAGTATTAACAAATTATCATACCTACTAGCTTTATGTTGCTAGAATTTAGGGTTAAAAGCTTTTGGAACCAAATAACTCAATTTAAATTAACCAATAGAGTTATGTCTTGAATAACTTGGAACATTACTATCTCATTAGTTGTATAGAGTTGATTAATGATTGTTAAACCTAACTCAATATAGCAACTGTTGGTTTAACTTTTAACAGTCATAACATAATAAAATTTTTCATTATTTTTGAACATTAAGAAAAGGGAATAAGGCTCAAAATATGGTGGGAACTATATTCCCACTACCTTATATGTAAAAAAAACACATTTTACCAAAAATACCTTTCATAAAATTTGAAACAAATAACATTTTATTGTATTTTCCCTCAATCTAAGCCCTTATCACTTTCAGAATTTTGGGATCTAAAAACAAAACATATTCTTCGGACTGAAACCTAAATAAACATGGTTGTATTACATTGCTCCTCTTAGGTACATTCGGCAGATTCTCTTCACTGTGTACACAAAGAACGTAATACATTCTATCAAAACGGGTTTATCTGGAGAAACAGTCGGACTTGTTGATTTTGTAACGTTTTCTTCAGAGACAGATTGGTAATGTTTAAGGTAAACATGTAACTAAACCCTTCTGTTTTGTTAGCTTGCAGTTTCGGTTTCTGTAGATTGGGGATCAGGTGTATGTGAGATGTACCCCGTTGTTTACGTTTGCAATCAGGCTTTATATCCAATATTTTTAAAGCCACGATAGTCGAACGGTGAAGGGGTCGGACTGGCCGACTCGTGATCCGAGGAACGCGGGTTCGGTCCCGCCGCCGCTCGACTATTGTGGTGAGCTCACTCGTGACACAAGCATATTTAGCTTAGTTCGAGGGGCTAATGGGAGTATTAGTAATTTGTGTAATAACAAATTACTAATAATCTTTTTTATGCTTTGATATACAGGGTGTTTGGCGCATCGTGTGCCAAAATGATTTGGCGGATAGAATGGGTCATTTCCTATATTTTCAACCCCCATGACACGTTCCATGCCAGGCGGCTACTTTTATATTAATTTTTTTAGTAATTTCACCAAAATACCCAAATCGCATCATTTAATTTCGANTATACAGGGTGTTTAGCGCATCGTGTGCCAATCTGATTTGGCAGATAGAATGGGTCATTTCCTATATTTTCAGCCCCCATAACACGTTCCATGCCAGGCGGCTACTTTTATATTAATTTTTTTAGTAAGTAATTTCACCAAAATACCCAAATCGCATCATTTAATTTCGATTTAAAAAAAAACTACTAGGCGTAGCCTCAAAGTAAATATTTTGTTTTGACGTGCATTGATGTAGGGTTGCATCAAATCTAAATTTACTGGCAAATATCATCTAGTTTTTTTTTAATTCAGCTTTGAAGTTTTCCGAAAAGTTAAAAATGGACTGAACATTTAAGTTTACATGGCTATAAAAAAATAAATAAAAGAGATAGCGATCTTCGGATTTTATCAAAACTTCTCTAGTCTATCCCCATTCAAACGGTATACGAGGGCTGCACTAAAAGTATCGGGAATGGAATATTTCCACTGTTCCAGTCATATTAAAATCTATTTAATTGCAAAGTCCAGGGTTTTAAAAATCGTATACCATTTATTTATTTAAAAAAAGATTCTCGGTCGTATCACAAGGTCTTGTCAAACTTGTTTAGTCGTTGAGAAAATGGAATTGACTCGAGAAAATTCAAGAGCGATGATTTATTATGACTTTTGAAGTGGTTTAACACAAAAACAGTGTGTTGACCGGATGATTTCTGCATTTGGTAATGAAGCCCCATCCAAAACCACAATTTATCGCTCTACTTATAAAGTGAATAAAACGTAAAACAATAAATTAAAATACATAATCCTCTATTATTTTTTGCAATCTAATTATGAAACTTTCATCTGTAGAAAGACTCATAAAATACATTAAATAAATAAATAAATTAATTAATAAATTAAATATATAAACTTATTTTGAAATACAAACTACAAAAATATAATAACTAAACAACTATTTGTAAATATGAATTTTGGTACACTGTCTCCTACACTACACAACTCCAATGCTCACTGTTAACTTGCCAACTTGGGCGAACCAAACACTATCCCGCACAGTTTTCTACGAGTACCCGAACAGTAAAAATAAAAAAAAAATCTCGTATTCTTTTACAATCTTATTTATTTAGTAGGTGGATACTTACTCACTACACCTAGTCACACCTACCTAGTCCTGACTGAGTAAATGATAGTTAGTTTGAGGGCCATTATTTCTGTGTCAACGGAGTTGCAGATCTGATGTTTACTTATTCGAAATAATGTTAATAATTATTTATGTACCTACATTATTTTTTGTTTGTGGGCTTTGCGCATGCTTCGTCACAAGACAATTGTTGTAAATTATTATAATCTCATGTAAGTGAACTACCCTGTTCTTATGAGAATAAAGATTCTTTAAACCGAAACCGAATTGCTTGTTAAACGACGGGCAACTACGAGTACGGTAACGGAACTCTACATTACGCATGGCACAACACGCACGTGGCCGGTTTTTAATTTGTAGTTATAGCAAGAAAGAGCTTTCGAAGAAGTCCATGAAATATTAGGTGAGATACAGGCCAAGAGCTACCTCGTTGTGGATAAAAAAAAATGAAAAAAAAAAAAACTATCATGATTAACGTAGGTCTAACGCGTCATAAAGGATCTATGCCATCTATTTCTAAAATTTCGACATCTTTTGATCCAGCCGGCCTGGCCTTTCTCACTCTGCTGTCGCCCAACGACAATTTATTCCCCATTTCGGTCACGTACGCCCCGAAGTGTGGCCGCTTGCTGCCAGAAAATGACTCAGGAATGCGACCGACATTCGGGATAAGTCCTCAAAGTAATTGGGACTTGACTTATTTGGATCGAGATGATTTGCCGGATTGCCGGGTATTTAGCGGGGCCAATAATTGCTTCGAATAAGAAGGGTTGAACCCTCTTTTTGGGGATTTGAACATCAATCGCTTGTTCTTGTACACACAAATGCCTTGAGGGATTGAATTTGTTGGAACAGAATTTGAGAGGGTTTTTAGTAGATCAGTTTGGTGAAAATAAAGTGATTTGAAATGAAATATACCTTGCTTAAGTATTTTATTAGAGAGCAATAAAATAAGGTGTTCTTTTACGACGTGCTTTTTGTTCGTGGTTCATTATTATAAGTAAAGAAGCTTCAAAGTTCCATTTAATTTCGCAAATATATCGCGAAAATTCAGTCAAAGGACGTCTTCCTTATAGGATTTCCACAAGACCGGTTGACACAGTTTACTGTAACCTAGTTGTTGCCATTCAACAATTCCAAGAAACTTTAAACGTTTCTGAAACGATATCAAATCGTTTTGGCAAACAAAAGCGACGCGTTTACAACCTGAGGCCTTTTCTCCTTATTTAAATTATCGCGAAATTGCAAAGCCAGCTTCAAAGGAGTCTGCTACGTGCCTAACGTTCGGGGCAAATCGCTTGGAAGAGGTATTGTCTGAATCGAGCTCTTGACTGATCAGTTTATATTTGACTGGCGGGGTGGTTAGGGATGTTAAATAGAGACGGATTATTTTTATCGATAATTTTTACATAATTTTGTTTATTTTTAGTTAAAAAAATTTTACTAGCAAACTAGATTCTTTATACCTCTTACATCTATTTTTGCAACTCCTGTGTAGTCAGGATCTGCAGCTTGACCGTCAATAAAATCTAACCAGTAAAGGGAATGTTAAGCAGTCCTTTGTCCCCTAACGAAACTAATCAGAAGACAAATTTTAGAAGACTAACATTTAGTTCTCCTGTTTTTTACTGGCAAGTAAAAATATCATCAGAGATGGAGTAACAAAATTATGTGGTTTGTTACAAGCAATCAGTCCTCACTGGTAGAAACCAGACCGGCACTAGAAAGTGCCGGTCGTAGCCGTAGATCCTAGCACAACAGGCAAGAGTTATAGTGGTGGAATGGCCTCGCTTAATTGAGGTAGTAATGGGAGAATGGCAACTAAGATTACATGGACAATTTCACAAACGAACATGGCAAACTTATGGACACTTATTAAATTGTAACTTTAGCTGTAACTTGTGGAACTAGGCTATAAGAGCTAATTCTAGTAAGAAGATTTGCTGTCAAAAAAGACATTTTCACGTACCTAATTTCGATTGTTTTCAGACTTATTTCAAATACTTTGTTATACGGAAATACGCTTGATATTTTTTTATTGTTTTGACTAATAGATATTTTGCGAGTTAAACAAACCAAAATTAATTCTGAAGATCATGAATCGCTTTACAATAATACGATTATGTCAGTGAAAATCCGTTCAACTCCACCTTTCAATCGATACTGTGAGTTCGCGTCCCTAAGCGTCAGCGATTTAGACGGAATTTAAATAAATTATCGACGTTATATTGCCCGTTGCTTATTACATTCTATTCAATTTGCCGTAGTCATTTGTTTCATTTCGATCTTCATTTGGAATAAATTGGTATTTTGGCGATTGCGTTTTGTTTTGTTGTAAAATCAGCTCCAGAAATGTTTTATTATTGAATAAATTATTGCTTCATTTTTATTTTGAACTGAAAACATCTTGTTTTGTGTGAGAACAAACATTGTGTTCAAAAAGACATTAATTTCTTTTATCAGTGAATCGTCTTGTTTCATTACATCTTGAGTTTCAATGACATTAAAGGTCAACACATTTGTTGACCTTTGAGAAGAATAGAAAATAACAATGTTGAGATAAAATTAATAAAAGTTTCAATGATTTATGTAACTTGACTGGAACGTTCCAAAGTCGTAGACAACAAATAAATACAAGCTACCCTTAAGTTATTTAAATGAGCTAAGTAGCTTTGCGTGAGACGCGCTATTAGGGAGCATAAACAGTCGTAACATTTGCTCAATATTTATTACTACAGGCTACTGTCGGACTAATTGTGAAACTAAATTTTATGTTTGTTTGTTGGTGGTGGGTTTAGCTATGTTTTAAGGACCGAATGCTGTTATTATGGGTGAAGATAGGGTTTTATGCAAAGAGAAACTTAGCAAATCATAGACAATTAACTGAGACTGTTTAGTTTAACTGTTTTTATTCTTCGAACCCTCGTTCTTTGATTCGGCAAGTCCAGCGTCTTCATTTTGCAGCATTGGGTAAATTGGTTTATGATTATCTTTGTTGTTTGTTTAGAAAACTCTTTAGTCAATTTGTTGTTAGAGTAGCGTAATCAGTTGTACTCGTCCCTCTCTCTGAGTTACATCTCCATTGTAGTACCAGAATGGTATAGAGTTTCTAGAATGCAATAGAAATCCTACTAATATCCTACTAATATTATAAATGCGAAAGTTTGGATGTCTGGATGTTTGTTACTCTTTCACACAAAAATTTTGATGAAACTTTACAGTATTATTGTTTATAGCCCAGAATAACATATAGGCTATAAATTATGACGATCTGTGACAAACGAAATTTCACGTGGGTGAAGACGCGGGCAAAAGCTAGTAATAAATAAAGTAAATGATAATGAAGATAAACTTACCCTGCCACGACCTCGCCTCTTCTGTTAGGGTACAGCTCTGGATGTTGACCGTACCGAAGATACACTTCGAATTGTTGTTCAGCTCTGTAACAATGACAATATTGTATGATATGAAACTTAGATAGAGTAGACTTTGGTAGAGACAGTAAGACTATGGCTGAGTTGCACCAACTAACTTTGACCGTAACTATAACGATAAACGGTGTTTTTCGTATGGAGTTTCACAGATTTTTGACGTTTGTCAAAGATAAAATAAGATGGTGCAAACCAGCCTAAGAGGGTGACTGATTTAGTAATCGCGGCTTAGAATTCTCGTCGAACTTCTTGACGGATCTTTTCTCGAAGGAATTATGGCTTAATGATGACTTTAATTGCCGGTTGTTTGGGTAACCAATATTTCTGAAGATAAGTGGTAGTTAATGGTTAGTCAAATAATACAAGTTAAGATATTTAAACATACTAAAGACGTCATAGACTCTTTACCGACACATATTTTTGTAGAAGGGCAAAAATAAATTATTATCTTCATAAAGGTGTATCATCATAAGTAACATTAAATGTGATACGGCTATTGGAAACAATAACATTGAATTGAAACTTACCTTGAGTCAAAGCTAAAGTACGTCTGGTCGGTGAAGTTATCGGCGTGGAAGACTATCTTCACGAAGTTGGTCTCCGAGATGAAGGTCTGAGGCTGTTCGATCTCGCCGCAGAACAGCCCCGGCTCCTTCCTGTTGGACACGTCGGTCTTGGCGTTTCCGTCTACTATCTGTACGCAAATATAGTAAATTAGGACACAAGAAGGCTAAGAACCGGTTTCCACCAAGGCCGAGCGGTGTAAAGCGGAGTAGAGAAGTTTTTTGAACAACCTATCAGATTCTAGTATTCGTACATCTCCGCTCCGCTTCGGTGGAAATGGATCGAGCGGAGAAGAGCGAAGAAGTGTAGGGCGCACTTGTTTTTTTCTATAAATTTGATAGCGGTGGCGGCGGGGTGTGGAGAACAGCGGAGAAGAGCGGAGATGTGCGGAGCGGTGCCGTGTTTCATAGATAACAGTAGACTGATGAGCTGACAGCTACGCACAGCTCACACATCTCCTCTAGTCTAGTAAATAGTCTGCAAGCTTCACCGCACATCTCCTCTCATCTCCGCACCGTTCCACTTTGGTGGAAACCGGGCCTAAAAGCAAACTACCTGGAAAACAATTGAAAAAGAGACATGAGGGAGTTAGGCCTGTCCACTGATTATGCTCACCAGCGAAATGAATGGAGCCGCAAGATCAAGCATTTGCCACTCTGGATGCGTTCTGTTGAGGTGGAGGAGCAGGTCATACATGATGAAGGGTGCGTTCATTTTGACCTGACTGGTGACCGCAGAACACATCCAGCGTGACAAATCCTTAAAGAAATACATACATACATACACTAGAAAAACATAACCCTCCTTCTGGCGCAGTCGGGTAATAAAATATGCGGGGTCTTGTACGCGTAATGGGAGAAGGCGAGAGCAAAGAAGATGAAGCGAGGGCTCTTTCAAATTAGACGTTTAAGGGCTGATTTTTCAATCGCCGGATAACTTTTATCTGAAGAAGAATAAAATTGTCATTTTGACATATTTCTCATACTGAAACTGTCAATGTGCCAAACTTATTCTTCAGTTAAAAGTTAACCAGCGGTTGAAAAATCGGCCCTAATTAAAGTCGAAAATGATAATAAAGTACTAGTTTTGAAAATATTCGTCTCACTTATACAAGTATAAATAACTAATACAATAGAGGAAGTGGGGCCCAAAACTGCATTGCCTTCTCGTCTGTATTTGAAAAAAAAGTGCCACAATTAGATAAGATGTGAAGAAACTGTTTAAAATGTATCAATTTATAATTCCGAAATGCAGCTCAAAATAATAATGTTCTGTATTAAATCACCAATCGTTCAGAGTCAACAATGGCCAGTACAAATTTATTCAGCTCGAGCACAGATCCCAATATAGTAGTATCATGCAAATACTACGACAATGTTGAATGGAAATCCTCTGTTCATCTCGGTGCAATTTAAATAAGTGCGTCTGTTCGTTACTGTTGTTATACTTCGTGCTGCTGTCAAGACTTCCAATTCATTGGATTGGGTGAATTAAACTGTAAATCTTTGTGACAATTCAAGCTTGAGTTATTTTAGAGAAAGTGCTTATTAGCTTTACACATTCACAGTATCTAATTTTGGCAAAAGTTGATTGCTCGTAGCGTTACCCCTTCACAAGAAGCGTTAAAAAATAGACTGATGTATTATTTTCTACTGACTTGCTTTCAGGGATTAGGGATAAGAAATTAAATTTTTGAACATGAAAAAAATGGCCTCATTCGCAAGAAAAAAACTGATATAGTTTTTTGACTTCATGAATTTTTGAATGAATGTGTAATCTTTTTTACAGAAGTATTAAAAAGACATTCTCGCTTAGCGCACAGATCTCTTACATCTTTAAACAACGTAACGCAAATTTTGCTTCGCTTATGCCTTTTCTCAACGAATCCTAGAAATCTGTCCTGAACAGAATAAACGTCACGACAAATATTTAATTTCAAACGACAAGGTGAGTTATTAGAAACGTTAACGAATACCATCCGAACAACAAAAGTTCATTTCCAAACAGCTTGGAATTGTATCACAAAACGTGGCCCAAATCTACCTTTTAATTTGTTTAAGACAGCTCCGCCCGGATCGGACGGAGTTCCCGTGAAATCGCCGCCAACTCCGAATTGAGTTGCTCACGCGTCGATGCGATCGAGGCGCGTATTGCGTAAAGGTGATTGCAATTCGGTGATAAAGATCGACTCGGAAAATTCTTTTGTACGGAAAATTATGCTACATGGCCAAACTCTTCGCTTGAGGTTTCAAAATGTCCCTGAGTTTTTATTGTTCCTTGTGTTTATTGTGTTTTATTTTGTAAAAAGTATATCTGTTAAGTATTTTATGTAAATTAATAATTAATTTTAAATAAATTATTTACAACTTATTATAGACGTTGTCTTATGGGATAATTATTCAGGAATAATAAATAGGTTTTTAAACAGCTTTTCAGCATTCAATAATGTTTACATGTTTTTTATTACGCCTTGTTTTTAATATTCAATAATAAATCATAGTGACTACTTCTGAAAAATTAAATACCTACATTATTTTATTTTTCTGACACAAATATTTTATCCACACAAAACATCAGAAATCTCCATGGCCATTCCATAGCGATTTCATGGCATCCAGTCACGTTCGCCTTCCATTATAAAGGGAGCGGACTTAATTAATTTTTGAACTTCCCTGACGGAACGGGCCGGTCCAATTTGGACAACTAATTATTGGATCATTCATTTACGCGCCCCAAAGTTGAGATCAGACTTTAATTGCGTAGCGACTAATTATGTTACGTGCTTTGTGGACCTGTCACGGTACCGGGCTAAAGATTGATCCACACTATTCAAACCATAATATTGGGTCTAAATATTGAATTCAATCTATGAAATGAAATGAAATTAGACTTTTATCAATTTGGGGCTGTTTTTCCAATAGTTGGATAAATTGACTATTGACAGTTTCTGTATGCGAATTATGTCAAGTTTATTCTTTAGTTAAAAGAAATCTGACTCTTGACAAATCTGCCCTTAAACCAAGATTTAACACTTATGAACATCAAAATCTTAAAAAATACTATATTACCTACCACAGGTTACTTTAACAGCAAGATTTTATACCCTTTTTGAGCAAGACTGTTTGATTTCATTTCTAAAGCTTTTCTGGTAACGTAATAAGTCATAAACGTAAGGTTCAAATTAAAGGGTTTAAATTTAAATAATTTAACTGTTGGCTAGAGGTCGTGACCTCAGCTCTCAGATATTATCTACATTTAACTAAGTCCTATACCGCTATAGGTAACGTAATTAGTATAGTATCACGTCGACTAATTAGCAATAAGCTTAGACACATAGATAATTATTTGTGATAGATTTGATTATAATTTAGCAGTATCAAATGAACGGTGTATCAAATTGAAACTAAAGTGGTGGTGGTAAAGCCGACATAATATATCCAATCTGGGGGCACGGCAGTGCCCCCACCAAGTCGAGCAAAAAAGCGGCACGGCCGTACCATCCTTTTCTCGAAGCAATTCAGGCCATTTTCGACCGCCTGTAACTTCGTTGTGGATAAAACTAGAAGGCTGAATTTTCATTAGCTATGCAGGCATTGTAAAGACACGGTATATTTAAAATTTCATTCAATTTGAACCAGTAGTTTAAGAATTATAACGGGTCAAAGTTACTTAATTTTGTCACTCACTGACTNTGAATGGGGATAGACTAGAGAAGTTTTGATAAAATCCGAAGATCGCTATCTCTTTTATTTATTTTTTTTATAGCCATGTAAACTTAAATGTTCAGTCCATTTTTAACTTTTCGGAAAACTTCAAAGCTGAATTAAAAAAAACTAGATGATATTTGCCAGTAAATTTAGATTTGATGCAACCCGACATCAATGCACGTCAAAACAACATATTTACTTTGAAACTACGCCTAGTAGTTTTTTTTAAAATCGAAATTAAATGATGCGATTTGGGTATTTCGGTGAAATTACTAAAAAAATTAATATAAAAGTAGCCGCCTGGCATGGAACGTGTTATGGGGGCTGAAAATATAGGAAATGACCCATTCTATTTGCCAAATCATTTTGGCACACGATGCGCCAAACACCCTGTATAATATACCTGATTGATTTGAGTATTGATCACAGAAATACCCAATGCCTATCGTCACTTGTGTGACATTCGAATTGGGTGACACGTCAAGTGCTGGTACAAAAGGTAGAACAAAATAATGTGTGAAGGTTTGATACTACAAATTAGCATTTCTTTGGAGATCAGCTAAGAACTAATAAGATAAGTAATCCAATGTAAGTACGCAAACAGAATGGCACTAACTAATTTAACTGTCAGATAAAAGGCAATTCAATACATCTTAAGAGTGTCATCTGGCAATAAGGAGCTATTAATTCAATGAATATTCTGATAAAAGTACGATTATGTTTATAAGAATAAGAANGTTGTTCTACGGTAAAAAGTTGTGAGATCCATGTAATACCAAGTCCAGGCCAGGAAATCTTTAACGTTTTACATAAATATATTGACTTGGCCGTCGCATGAAAACTCGTGTAAATTAAATTATTTAGTTATGTTAGTTTATGTAAAACGTTAAAGATTTCCTGGCCTGGACTTGGTATTACATGGATCTCACAACTTTTTACCGTAGAACAACTGAGTTGCGAGACTTGGTTTTTTTGACAAGTATTGTTTTTGATGGGATATTTATATACTTAGTCAATGTGATTTATTACAATTTATATTATGCTTCAATTTAGAATTTAATCAGCTATAACAAAGACAAAGTAGATCAACAAAAGTATTTATTCATGTAAAGAAAATATTAAGGGTTATGTGCGTATAACTACATAGACGGAAAAGTCTAGTCCCTTTTAGTGACTATGAAAAGTAAAATATGTTTTAATCCAAAATCTAATCTCTAGAGTCTAGGCTAACACAACAAACGGCCAAATCGTAAAACAATAAGGCTCCTTTCATGACTATAGAACCGTAAAAAATGAAACAACAATTGCTACAATTACGCTCTCTTTAACATTTTTGTCGTCCTGCAAACTGGATTAATCCAGTAATAACCTAACATAAAGTTCCACTGCCCAAAACTTTATAGAATGAGCCACCGAGGACTAAATCAGAGTTTCTTAGTAAGACGTGTTTTGGGAATCGTTGATTCAATTTTTCTTTTTATTATGACTGGCAGTTACGACGATTGTACTCCGGGGTGGATTTTAATGGTACGGAGAAATAAAGTTCGTAAACAAAAATTGGAGTGATAAGACTGCCCAAATTTTTGTAAGTTGGTGTTCTTTTTATATGGCAGTTTTAATGGCAAAGAGTTTCTATCCACCTGAAAGCAGCTGAATTCTTACGGTTAATGGCAAATTGTCGCACGTTCTAAAGGTTTTAAAATAATAATAATAGAGCAATATAAATATATAAATAAATAGACTAGAGCAATTACTTGTAACAGAACAATCTATGATTATGTTCTAGTGTATACTGACCTCTCACGTGTCATACGTAGTATATTTTACCTGTACTGTACCATTCGTAAGAAAGCTACTTAGGCTCTATACTCCCCTTAAAACACTCGTATACGGGTTGATTCTAAATAAAATCCCTAAAAGGTTACGTACTGTTGATTCTATGGATTTATGGGGTCAATACTGCGCCGAAAGCAAAAAATTTTAAAATGTCAAAAACAAAGTTTTCAATATAATATCCATACCTGCATGTAGCCCTTATGACACGTAGTCCCATTGATCAAAGTGCCGACTTTGAATTTCTTGAATCTTATCCTCAGTATCCAGTCTTTGGGGGAGCCCCGGAATGCCCTAAACCTGTAAAAAAACTATTATTACAATCAAAAACAAAAGAAAAAAGGTTAGAAAAGTTCTCAAATGCCGATCGGCAACCGTAGTGTAGGCAGGCTTCCCGGTGGATCGACGATCAATGTGCTTTAGTATGAGTTTAGGTGTGCTCCTCACTAGCGAATGCGTCTTAAAAATCTATGAAGATTTTAGTTCTTGAAAGTAGCCACTAGGGGCCAGTGCATCTGTTTTATAAGGGTACAGTTACAATTTGTCACACATTTAATGTAATTTTTTACGCGGTCGCTAGCTGTAAACTCATGGTAAGCACACTGGTGAAGGTCGCGGGAAACACCTGGTAGGCGGCAGCAAGGGACACATCGTTGTGGAAATCCTTAAGAGAGGCATTAGTCCAGCAGTGGACGGAATTCGGTTGAAACGAGACTATACAATTACATAGCATACAGTCAAAAATAAATTGAAACAATTCCAGAACCTTCAACATTCCAAGCAACAAAGTAATGCAAATAAAAAACCTAAGTGTTAAATAAGTAAGCAGCATGAAACGTCTAGACACGATGAAATTTAAATGAAAAGTTCCACAGTATATCGCTGAGCAGTAAACCTAAATTACTTTTAAGAAACTTAACAATACATTTAATTTCAACGAAACAAAGCAAGTCTATTATGTTTAATTTAAAATAATCTATTAGATAAACAAAATAAATTATTCTATTGATGAAATAGTCTGTTAGTTTTAGTCATCTGTTTTTTGGACATAGTACCATTAAAAGTGAGTTTTACAGAAGCCATGATCATCATCATTAGGTCACTTGGTCTCCACGGGAGGACGTCCTCTCTAGTTGATCAAAGGTAAATTGATAATGAACGATTTTAGAACGTAATGTGCACATTATGGCACTATATGACAATTTCTAATTTAAAATAATGAAATGGTATTAGGCATTAATTAATGTTAATTTACCTATATGTGCAAGTAAGAGGCCGCCCGAAGTTTTCTGACGTGACCGGCGGCGAAGATACGTCCTCGTAGATCTCCACTGTCTTGTTGCAGTGGTCCCTTTTTGAGTCTGTAACAATAAAAACATATTGATTTTCTAAATGTTGCCACTTTTTTGTAAATACGAAGGAAACAGCCATAAAATATCATTTATGTCATTTTATGAGTAGGTGGTACTTTGAAATTTTGTTTTGTCTCTACAATTTTTGATTTTTGATAAACGTTTTAATGGGCACATAGTTGCAATACCGCGCATTTGACTTTTGTTTGGACTTATGTTACTGCGTTAAGGTTATACTGTGACAGTAATACCGTGACAAACCCCCATGAAAAAACGGACGTCGGTGCAGCGGAGTTATAGCTCGACACCCATGAGTTACAGACAGGGAAGCATGATTTACTTGTAATGGCTCATTTTTAGTTCACTTTGCACTTACATTACTGCCAATTTTGCTTACACTATTCTTCAAACTAAACTGAGACCTCTCTATTTCACCCCAGGGTATGAAATGGCTAAGGCTACTTTCATACAGTATTTTTTATAAAATACTAGCTGACCCGGCGAACTTTGTTCCGCCTTAATGGCAATAAATAACGGGATAAAAAGTATCCTATGTCCTTCTCCTGGCTCTAAACTACCTCCCTGACAATTTTCAGCTAAATCGGTTCAGCCGTTCTTGAGTTATAAGTGGAGTAACTAACACGACTTTCTTTTATATATATAGAAGATCAGCTCTTTCTATCATACCATTTCATAGATGGAAATTGCAAACTTCTGCCTACTGCTTCGCTCGCATAAATAGTCTAAATTACCTACTTGCAATGACAATGTGTGCTAGTCAAAACTCTTTATAGTATTTCCTTTAATCGTTCGTTCGTTTCAGCCGAAAGACGTCCACTGCTGGACAAAGGCCTCCCCCAAGGATTTCCACAAAGACCGGTCCTGCGCCGCTTGCATCCAGGTACTTCCCGCGACCTTCACCAGATCGTCGGTCCACCTAGTGGGAGGCCTGCCCACGCTACGTCTTCCAGCTCGTGGTCGCCACTCAAGAACTTTTCTGCCCCAGCGGCCATCATCTCTTCGAGCTATGTGCCCCGCCCACTGCCACTTGATTTTAGCGATTCTGCGGGCTATGTCAGTCACTCTGGTTCTCCTACGAATCTCCTCATTTCTGATTCGATCACGCAGGTGGTCGCTTACATGAGGCCCATAGTAAGCGACCACGTCTCAGAGCCATACACCATCACTGGCAACACACACTGGTCAAATACTTTTGACTTGAGACACTGCGGTATTTCGGACGTGAGAATTTCGCGAAGCTTCCCGAACGCTGCCCAGCCGATTTCCTTTAATACCACTAAATAAACTAATGTAAATACATTTGTGATATGATATTATGACCTACTGGTGGACGCAAAGTTCGTCGGTCGTTTTATGTCCTTTAAGCTAATCTCGTTAATATTATCATTTTATCGACTATTTTTACTTACTTACCCATGCTTTTTACCTATTACTGGCCAAAGTAAAAGCTTTAAACTTCTACCAAAGAAACCGTGGTGGCATGCAGTTTGCGGTCTGCAGTCCATCTTGGACTTGTACCTAAACTCTGACTGGTGACTACATCAAGTCAAGCTACTTCTTTACTCTTTTTGTATCTGTCACTCAGTAAAGAAATACAGAGTCGAGTATTATTATTACCTATAAGTATAAAAGATGGAAGCAAAGATAACTTTGCTCTCCGTTTATTACTAAGACGAGTTTGTTGCGAGTTGTTTGCGGTATAAACTGATACGTGGTGATTTATGTTGCTCTTGAGCTCGTGGGAAAATTGAAAAGTTACGGTGTGTACCTTGTAGTTAAGGTAGATGAGACTTGTTGCGGTATGATTTGTAGGTTAGCTTGGTTATTACGTGATTGTTTTGCAAGTTATTAGTACCTAGTTACAGCTCTTACAAGTCATGATAGTAGATAAATGAGACGTTTTATTTCAGGACAAAAGTGCAGTCGCCACAGGCACGCCACACCAGCCTTTAGTAAACCTAAAAATCATATTAAAATTTTGTAAGCCTCATGGCCGTTTTCACCATCAATCCCTAATTTTTAACCCTCAATTTGCATGGTAGGTCCCAGGGACTCCATGTGAAACTGTTTTGGTCCATAAAATTTTTCAATACGCGTATACAGTGTTGTGCGCTTGAGTAGCTTCCTTTGGTGTCGTGGCCAACTCGAGGGCGAGAGGTTGTGTGCGTGCTCATCACAGAAAGGTGAGTAATTGACACTTGCGGAGTCCCGTGGACTCCACCATACACTTTGTGTAGCAAAAAATTGTATTATGATATTATGTTTTTTTTTATCCTACAGTTATATTAATGGTTTAAGTGGATCAAAAAGCATTGAACAGTCACAATACATAATTTATCAATACGGTAGATGGAAATGAGGCCTCAGATATAAGGAAATCTAGAAGAAAATGCAGACGATGAAGGAAAAGAAGAGGACTTTACATCTTATGTCCCGAAAGTTTTTTTTTTTGGTGATATTGTATTTTGATGGTGTTTTGATGAATAAAAACAAAGACTGCTTATTTTGAAATTAATTTGACAAAAAATATACTTGTATTATTCGAAAAAGTTTTGCAAGCAATGTGCTGCTCGTACTAATTACTAAGTCATTGCACGTTTTTTCGTGTAATTTTTTTTCTAACAGTTTAGATATTATTTATTAAGAAGACTGTTATGTCCACATAATTTAGAAAAATAAATTTTTTTGGATAATTTTTTTTCTAAGTTTATGAGGTACAAAATGGCTATGTCGATTTTTATGTGATTTTTACGACTAAATGAAAAAAAAAATTTCAAATGATTGTTAATTAATGTTTCCATTTCTGTTGTTTCTAATTAATAGTATATTAACCATATCATGTTACCAAATAAAAAATATATTACTTTTATAAGTTTGAGTCTATTTTTTCTTCATTTGAAATATGGAGTCCCAGGGTCTCCACCTTACACTTAGCGTAAGTTTTAGTCACCATGCAAACTGAGGGTTAAGTGACCCCTATGGTGACAAATAACAGGAATTTTGTTGACGTAGGGGTCACTCAAAAATTAGGGATTGATGGTGAAAACGGGCATCAGCTTCCTAAACTAAGGCTGAGTTGCACCATCTAACTTTAACTTGCACAAACGTCAAAAATCTGTCAAACTCCATACAAAAAAACCGGTTCTTACGATTAAAATAAGGTGGTGTAACTCAGCCTAAGATCCAAAAATGTTTGGTTGCGATCTTTTTAATCAAGCGCTGTATTACAATAACATTTATGAAGGACGAATATTAATATCTTTAAGTTATAAGTGTGTAAATTGTATACACCTAAAGACGTATGAAAGTACCCAATTTATAGGAAAAGGTTTCTTAAAGAAATCCGAAAGTTCTACTTGTTTGGCCACAGTATTCGACAGGACTTCATCCCACGGGACTGGCTATACCTCAGATCATAGAAAGAGAATAGATATGAAGTTGCGCGTAACTACAACGAGAACCAGTGTCCCCACATTTCCCCCACCACAGCTCCCACACACACATTCAACTGTGTAAAAACAAAGCGACTGAGAGTCTACGACAACATGTGCAACCGGCTTAAAAGTGCTGTGATTGGCCAGAAGGCGTGCCTTATGGCCAATCAATGGCCACGTGACGTGACGCACACTTTGAAAAAAGCAATTAGAGAGAAGAAAGATAAAATGGAGTCGATAAGATATCGATACTTTAAATCCTGGGGGCAAGGCTCGAAATTGGTTTAAAAAATGCTTGTATGAAAACCTTTTTATTATTATACGTTATTATTATGTTCTTTAACGATTTTTGCATAAAGGAGTCAGTTCCATTTTGTATGGACGAAAAACTCAGAATCAATTATTGGGACTAAATGAAGTTACCTTATATTAATTTACCCCAACCAAAGCTCAATGTCGTTATCGATGGAGTATAGAAGTTATAGACTGACAAAGTTTGTATGAAAAGTCATGGGTTAAGTAGGTACTTGCGATTTTTACCAGTATTTACAATATTGGTAATATATTATTATTTACTTTAATAATAATAACAGGATCACTGTAATTATTATTAACTACTATCGCGCATTAACTTTTTAATTATGGCGAAATTCGTACCGCCTATGTTTATCAAAAATAATGCCTATATTAGGCTTTCAACTAGCTCTTATAGTAATTACATAGTTGACAGTTACTAATCCCTTCTACTATTGTTATTGTTTTTGTAAAAACTTAAAAATCGCAAGCAACTCATGATTTTTTCATTCAAAATTAGAAAATAGAAAATAATAATTTACTTCTATTTATCGATAATAGGAAACCGTATTAGAACACGAGCCCTGCACTATGTTACGACCGGCACATGCGGCCGTACTGTGTATTTTCACGCGTCAGTGGATATCGGAAGAAATAAAATACATTGCGCAGTAGTTACGCATGACATAAAGTGGTTGCTAACTAAATCGTCAATGTACAACGTGTTTGAATTTTTATCACCACTAATTTCGATATCGCAGTAAATGTCACGGCACTGAATTCGTTCGTAAAAATGTTTAGTTTGTTTTATTTATAAGCAAAATACCAATGGATTTGCAATACTTACATGTGGTAAATGACTTCATTGTTCCTGTAGTTCTTCGTTTCACTTATGTTATTGCACGTTACGACGCATTATCCAACAATATCGGAGAACATTTCCTCAGTACGACTGAATCGCGACTAACCTGGCGTCGCGGGCGATGTTCGTTTCTGGGCATATCGCGGAGACACGCGCCACGCCCCCGTTTCACATCTATTCCCTTCTATGATCTGAGGGCTATACCTTACATAGGTCCCAGGGTTCTTTCCAACTTGTATTTCTGTTTAAACTTTTAAAAGTCGCAAAAGTTTCCACAAGTTTCGCAAGGTGAAGTTGTAATTTACTATTTCTGGACTTTCATTGGACACCATAGACGATAAAGTCAGGTGAGAAAACCTACAGGTTTTGTAAAACATTTTCTGGGAAAAATTAGAAAAAAAATTAAGTTGGTTTTTCACAGATAAAGTTTTGCAAAACTCTTTCTGAAACAAATTAAAATGTACATATAAATGCTGAAAACTGACGGACGGACGGAATCATCGATTATGTTAAGCCACATCATCATCATTTTAGCCATAGGACGTCCACTGCTGAACAAAGGCCTCCCCCAATAATTTACATATTGGCCGATTGGTAGCGTGCTGCATCCAGCGCTTTCCTGCTATCTTTAAGAGGTCGTCGGTCCACCAGAGCAATAACCTCATCATCATTTCAGTCATAGGACGTTCACTGCTGAACGTCCTATGACTGAAATGATGATGAGGTGATGAGAAATGATCATAGACCTCCCCCAATGCTTTCCACGTTGCAATAACCTCACCTAACTTAAATTATCGCAAGCTTATTTCAAATATACATTTTCATAACGCAACCCTCTGTATAAAGTATGTCACGCATGTCTTCAAAAACACGCGTAACGCGTTGTAGACTTTTTCTACTTAAAATGTTCCGATAAAGGCCCAAAATAAACATGAAACGCACAAACTTAGATCCTGTTTTATCAAACTACAATCTAAACCTCAAATTACAAAACTAACAACAAGAAAAACTCTCCCATTTTAGAGAAAGCAAAACAAACGGTTGTCGATACAGACTGAAAATGGCGTCTGGAGGATTGACCCTCTTTGTTGGGAACTCCATAAAAAGTTAAGTTACACTTCTTGCGAGGTCCTAGTTCGGTGACACTTCGGTGCGAGTCGGTGCGAGTTGGTGCGAGTCGTCAAAACAAGTTTGTTCCTTGGTTATGACTTGAGTTTGAGATGATATGGTGCAGTTTTGCTTTTGCTTTGGTTTTTAGGGTTCCGTACCCAGAGGTGTACAGGAAACTTTGGACCTTAGCCATTAATAAACTTTTGTTATCATTTTGACTGTCTGTCTGTGAGCTTATAACACAGGGACAACTACAATGAAATTTGATATCTTAACAAGGAAAAGTTATATCGTGCTCAATAGCTATTCACATCAATTATTTATTTATTTTATTGAGAAAGATTTACCAAACACATCTTTAGTCTTTACACTAACAAATAATGCATACAATGATGACAAGACCAAAAGATTCAATTAATTAGTAGGTACAGTCGCCAGCAATGTTTGTATATTTTTATACGGGACTATTCCCACCTCTCGTTCCCATCGCTGCAACTCCTATGTGGCCAGGATCTACAGCTTGACCGCCGATAAAAACTGAACCATATATTTTTGTTGCAAAAACACAAATCCTTTTTAAGACTACGTCAGATTTGAGAAAATCATTAAAGACATCAATTCAATTTAATTAACTTGATGTATTGCCATCAATTTACGTGAAAAATATTTATGAGTTCCTTCACAGAATTTTGTAGGTAAATCTATAATGCCGTCTGA